CGAGAAAATCCGGTTTCTCACGGCGAAATTCTGTCCGGTTTTCTTCTCGCCTTCTTCGATCTTTCAAGTGAGTTCATACCCCTATAATTCACACTTTTAAATGTTTTATAAATACTTTTATATGCTTTTAGGGGGGGGGGGGGAATACAAGTAAAACACTCGATTATTATCGTGTGTTATATAATAAAGTTTCATTATATGGTTTTTATAAATGGAATCATATGTGATTTATAACTATTATAGGGAAACTTTCGTATGCAAATTATACCACGATAACATCTTATCTTTTGAAATAAGAAACGATTTATGTATTTATGTAAACCTAACACTCTGTTTATACTACAGGTATATGTGTCTAGTTTTGGCACTACAAAAATTATACTTTTCATAACAAGTGAGCATTTTCACTAGGAATTACTATACAAATGAAACGCACTTTTAGAAAACTATAATAGGTATAGTTTTACGAGAATACTACGAACTTTTACATACTGGAAATACGATTTCAAGAAGTTACTTTCATATACAAGAACAAACGAACATTTTCACATGTAAATCTGTTTTATACTAAAACGAATCAGTTTAAGATAAACTCAGGAGTATCGAGAAGAAAACTTAAAACGTAAGTCATCGATTGAATTTGCATCTCGAAGGTTTGAGAACAACACACATATCTCATAACAGATCCAAAAATTCTTCATGTCATTAAGCACTAACCCCATGTGTGATCCGTTCCTTTCTTCCTTTCCCGCAAAGGACACATTATGATAATAGTCAATTTCGGGTAAAGTCAAAGTCAACAAGTCAAACCAGACGACCCATTTAGCCCTTGTATATTAGGGTTTACATTGCGTATTTACTAAACAACCCACTATTTTAAGGAGAAAACATCATTGGAAAGTTAGTACATTTGAAATTTCATAGCTTTAATAATGCTAAACATTGAACCAAAGAGATAAAACACTATTACACACTCATCGGGTGTGTGTGGGGCCTTAAAACATGGCTTAATGGGGTTTACGGACCTTGCATTGTGAAGCCGGACACTCAAAAAGGTCTCAAACAAAACCTCTCTCAATCATTTTCACCATATCTCTTTTTATTAGAAATCTCTCCCAAATCTGTCTCAAAAGTTCCCGTAACTTTTCTTAGTCTTTCTGGCCATCCCGACTCTTAACTGGGTCAAAAACGACTTAAAACGGGGCAAAAAAGCGAAAATCAGCCTCAAGGAGCCGAAACTCCTCATGAAGGCCGAGACCGAGACTTGGAAGCCGAAACCAAGAAAGAACCGAAACCGAACCTTATAAGTCTCTCAGACCGAAACTAGGAAAGGCGAAGCTCTCGGGCCGAAACTAGGAAAGGCGAAGTCTCTCGGACTGAAACTCTCTCTCGGTTCCCCTCCTCCGACCGAGTCTCGCTGATAGCCACCGAGACCGAGCTTCGCTCTCGGTTCCTTCTTCTACACTCTCGATCCTTCCCTTCTACTTTCGGTTCCAAGCATCAGAAGCCGAGCCTCCGGCTAGACTTGACATTTTTCGCATATTTTTTCAATTTTTGACCATTTTCACATTTTAAGCCCGTTTTTGTGATTTTAACGCAATATTTTCACCAAACCTCATATTTTTACATAATAAACCCTAAATATTCATAGTTTAATCATATTTTTATGAAAATATTTTTTTAAAGAATAAAATTTAATGGGTAAAGTACAAGGAGGTGGAGTGTTGACTTATCTTTAACTTATGACACAAGCAACCTCTCACACCCAGTCCATGACCAGCCATACTCCTCCCACCATATCCAGGTCTTGTCAATGTGCTTTTTCATCATTTTTAACTTTTTCCACACTACTAAAGCTGGACACTCATCCTCTCTCCTCATTTTCACTCACTTGCTTTCATTTCACCAAAAGATCAAACACATCTTTTCTCTCAAATTCTCTCATATAATTTCGAGATTTCCAAGTCATTTTTGAAGCTTTTCATCTTCATTTGGTAAGTATCATCACCCTCCTTATGGTCATTTGATATGTGTATTTTTATATATATTTTTATGCACTTTATCTTAATATTTTGGCCTTATTTATTCTATTTTAGAACTAAAAAGTACTCATGATACTTTGAATTATGTTTTGCAGCTATTCGTTGTGCATAAAGCACAAAAGAAAAGACTGAAGCAGAAACCAGACTTAGGAGCTAAAAGAAATTAAAAATGCTGAAGAAGTGGATTACGCCCCGCGTAACGTCGCATTACGCCCAACGTAGTGCCCAAAATCGCCGTACGCCCTGCGTAACTAAAGGGTACGCGCCGCGTACTGGGTGGCTTCAGATAACTTCAATCGCATGTAAATCTTGACTACGCCCCACGTAATCCTATGTACGCCCAACGTACTAAAGTCGGCTACAAAGATTATAAAAGTCGATTTTCAGCTAACCAGGAGGGGGGATTTGACTTCTAACCTAATTTAGTCGATAATTAACTTCTGTTAAGCCGTTTTGAGGGTCTAGAAGGCGGCCGGAAGGCCGTTAAGCTAACGGGAGCGGAGATCGGAAGGGTTGGAGAGAGGATACGTGTCAGTAATCCTATGGGTTGTTAACGTGACCATGTTTAGCATTCCATTGTGTTACTATTCTGTATTTAGTTTCTGACTTGGGTGTAAAAACCTTTTACTTTGAGTTTATGATTGAATGAAGCTTTGATTATTAGACTAATTGCTATATTGAATAGTTTGTTTGTGTTTAATTTATCTTGCCAAGCTTGTTAAAAGATCCTTACGTATTAATGATAATTATTTGCTGTTAATTGTTAAGTGAATTGAGTTGTATGGACATATGCTTGACTGCTTGTCTCTTATGATTTTGATGACCATCGAGATTATAAGTCTAGGAATAACGAATGTGAAACTAGGATTAACATGGGAATAAGGAAGTTAATGTGTGAGCCTTGTTTGATGACCATCAACAAGAGGTTAATTGAATGTCTAATTTGATTAACTATTATTACAAGTCTTGCTTGATACGAACTGAACACTAGGAATAATGTTAGTTTAACCAATTGATCACTGTTTGAATTGACTTGTTTGCTAAAGGATTAGTTATAGTGAACGCGAATCTAATCATTTTAGGAATCGGTGAACATGAATAAATGAATTCGTGTATGCAATTGTCTATGTTTTTAAGGTGTAATTTGTCTAAACCAAAGTACCTGAAGAGATTTGTTTTCCCTGTTAGTTTATCGAGAGTTGTTAATTAATTATTAGTTTGAGATTTATTAATCTATTTCTTTTATTCTTTTCGTGTGACCTGTAACCTATAATCGAATATATTAAGTTAATCCACCGTTCCCTGTGATCGACACCCGACTTACCTAAGCTATACTGTAATCTGACTATGTAAACTGCCTATAAGTGCATAGTTAGTCTAAGTTTGTTAGGTTATAAATATTAAAATTAATGGGTACTTTCGTGCACAACAAGTTTTTGGCACCGTTGCCGGGGAACGGTTTGTCATTAATTTAGTTTATTTGATTATTCGTTATTAGTTTTTAGTTAGTTTTTATTTTTAGTTTGATTTTCGATGATATCATTTCACTTGTCGGGAAGGTTCTTGTTTTTATTTGCAGGAATTTGGGATTGTACACATTGCTTGACTTTACTTTTTGCATGGGTTTCGAGAATGAAAGCGATTAGGGAATTCTTGACCTACTTAGCCTACTACTTTGTTGATTTTTCCAACTCAATCCATCAGGCGTAGTATAGCAAGGCGTATTGTGGTGGTTAAGTGGAAGACCGAGCTCTTGCTGTTCTTGACTAGTTAGGTCACTTCTTGTTCCACTTTTAGTTAAAGGTGCAAGGAAAACAAAGGAAATATTCTAACGGGTCCCGAAAGTAGGTATTTTAGTAAACCAATTCTTGCATGCAAAAGTTTTTTTTTTGATCAACCGTTGCTGTTTGATCTCGACAAAGATAAGTGATTATGACGTCTCAGTTTTTTTTTTTATTTTTTTTTTATTTTATTTTTTTTTATCACTCATCGTGAAGTCATCATTAGTTGAAGAAATTAAAAAGAAAAAAAATAATAATAATTAAGTTTTAGGTCCCTTAATTAAATAATTAAAAGAAAAGGAAGTTAAATTAAAGAAAAAAGGAAAAGTTTCATTTAAATGTACACCTTGCGTAAGTTTACTTACGCCAAGCGTAATAAACCCCGGATCGCGTATGGATTTTCATGGGGATAGGGTTACGCCCCGTGTAACTTGGCGTTACGCCCTGCGTAAAGCAGCGACCAGGTATATCTCTTGACCCTTTGACTTCTTTATTCTTTTCACAACTCCTCTCTCGCACACGAACTGTGACTACAACTCCCTTCCAATAATCTCGATTTTGCTTCTTTTCTTGTCAAATTCAACACACAAGTAAGTTTTTTGGTTACTCAATGTTATCTATTTGTGTTTCAATCGATGGAATAAGTGGCATTTAGCCTTTGTTCGAAATCTAGGGTTTATGGGGTTCTTGAATTAGGGCCGATTTCGCAAATGTATGTGTTGATTAGGGCTTGAATGGACCGATTTTGGTTAATAAACTAAACCCTAGGACCTAATTTCGTCTTAATCCCGTCCCACACCCATCGATTTGACCTCAGGGACGAAAGCCAAGCGTAACCTGTTGACTTCGAGTTCTTGACTGCTACACATGATTCCCTGTTGAGTATTGTCACTAGACACGATATTATGGGGATTGATTTTTAAGGGTGGTCCCCTTTTTTTCCCTACTGCCTTTGGACCATGCGATGTCAAAAATTAATTGTGTTGTTGCCCCTACTATGTTTATTTTGATGTGGATTATGACTTTAGCACAAGCAAATGGACTGGAACACGGAGTCGTGCACCTGGACGTACGCCCAGCGTACAGACCTTACCCAACCTCAATTTTTTTGGTTTAAAAAGTTGTTAATTCTGTGAAATTGTGTTTGGTTTTGTGTTTGTGTGTATTTGTGCAGATTATGGCTCAAAGGACGCAAAGGACCAACCTACCCGAGAATGTGACTGATCATCGTTTTTTACAATTTCCGCAAACGCTGAACGATGCTACCCGGGCGCGTTATGTCACCAACTTGAGCTTGCTTCTCACCAAAGAGATTGATATAGCGCCATCATTCGATTGGGAATTGGCTACTCGGATCGGACTAGCTGCATTGATCCAGGGATTTTTGCAATACACGCACTCGGACGCGAGTGGTCTGGACTTGTTTGTGTGTCAGGGATGGGCACGTTTGTTCTAGATCCAGGAGCCTGTTTATCGGGAGTTTTTGCTGGAGTTCTACGCTACAGTTTCCTATGATCCTAGGAAGGCATCCGATGACAGGACAGCTTTTGCCTTCAGACTGGGTGGAGTGAGCCGGGAATGCAGCGTGATAGAGCTTGCGACTCGAGTGGGTATTTACACAGCCGATGAGACGAGGAGTGTCCACTTCCCGACATTCCTTGCTGATTGTCTTACGGAGTGGCCAGATGACTATAACTAGAACACTTTTTGGGCCGAGATTATAGGGGCAGTTTATACACCATCTACCGCACGAGGAGGGATGATTCAGTCTACTACATACCGAATGTTGCACCGGTTGATTTCTATGTCTCTCACGCATCACAAGAATAGTGAGAGAGTGCCTTCAATGGACTTGTATTTCCTATGGGCACTAGTTACTCCCAGGAGGCACCTGAACCTTCCAGTTGCTTTAGCTGTATATTTGGGACGGAGGACCAGGGGACTTCGGGGGGACAGCCCGATTTGCGGAGGGCATTTTATCACGCGTTTAGCCCGATCATATCAGTTGCTGACGCGTGAGATCACGAGATCGATGGTGTTCCACGACATGAGGCCGATGAGTCTTCAGCTGTTAGAGTCGATGCGTGTATTGGAGCAAGGTGGAGATGGTGTCTTGAGAGTACGAGCAGATGATGTGGCAGATATGGAGGGTGCCGCCGAGCCACAGCCGAGACGGGTCCCGCGGCGTAGACCTGCTCCTCGGGGAGCACAGCAGGGACCTGAGCCGGAGATTGATATGCGCTACCTAGCTCAGGGTATTGATCGTCTTGACATGAGGGTCCAGAACCTTAGTAAGTATGTTGCACATGTGGATAGGCAGCAGCAGTGGCAAGGGAATGCGTTGAACGCATTCTTTGCCCACCAGGGTTTTCAGTATTCGGTTCCCTACCCACCACCATTTTAGTCACGATATGATGGGGCCGGTACTTCTGGGACACAGCAGTAGGATGATGGAGATGATGAGTGATTTAGTTATCCTTTTTATTTTTATATTTATTTTGTGTTATTTTCAGTTTAGTTAAGTATTTTTATTTGGTGTGTAATTGATCTTTAATTTAGTTTGTTTTTACTTTTGTTTTCCATGTTGATGCTCTTTGGTTGTTTAGATCTCTGCAGAATTTTCGCTCTTAGAAAGCTGGCAGTAAGTTCAGCAGCTAGGTTCGACTGTTGCTAGAGAGAGCCGTGTGAGAGTTCGAAGATTATAGTCAAGACCCATAATTTTTCATAAGTGTGGGGTGCATATTTATTAGAGTTGTATTTCGACGCGAGGGAGAAGTATCATCCCGACTGCCATGACATGGTTGACACTTTCCTATGTTGTGGGGGATTTTTCATCGCGAGAAGAGGATGTCATTCTTGACGAGACGACGTGGTCGACACTTTCCCACGTCATGGTTATTATACATTGCATTTGTTGCGATCTTTTGCACCACATTTTTTTGAAGATGGCGGTCTTGATTTTATTTTTCGGCAAATTATGAAGCAGCAGTTCCAGTTTTCAGTTTTTCAGCAATATTTGAAGCAACCTGTAGCAGCCCCATTCGATCTCGCCACAACTACCCAGGGGAGTCTGTTCCTTTTTCTCCTTGTTTATGTTCTTAATTTGTTTTAGCATACAATGAGGGCATTGTATGAAATAAGTGTGGGGTAGGGGGTCGGTAAAAGTAAATTATAAAAATGAAATAATAGTTGGAAATTGCTAGATTTAGGGAAATTTAAAAATTTAAAATTTTAAAAGAAAACTTGAAATAATAGTTTAATTTAGAAAAATCTAGTGATAATTTAAAATTTTGCTAATATTGTATGAAATGATCCGATGAGAACTCAAATGTTTAGTTGAGCCAATATACGTTATAGTGCATTTGTGGCTTCCCTTATTTTAGTGAAATCATGGAACAAAAACATAACCCCACTCGGTTTGAAGGATGCAATATGTTTAGCAGACTAAACCTGAAATGTATCCAGGAAAATTATTATCATTAACCAATAAAGGTTGAGGTTGAGCGCCTCTGCTTAAACATGTAGGTTTTGAGTGAAAAAAGAGAGGTACATGTAAAAAAAAGAGAGAATTACGGAAAAGTTTGAAGAATTTTGGGAGCAAATAAAGTGAAGATCAAAAGATCAAAATTTCAAGAAATTCAAAAAAGTTGAAGATACCAAGAAATCAAATCAAATAAGGTGGTGAATTCGAAGAAATCAAAGATCAAATTGCTAAGAAAGTGAAGAATTCCTAAAAAGCTCCATAGTGGTATCATAAATTGTAATTCTAGTTTATGTATACTTAGGTTGCTCAACTAAAAATACCTTGAGGTTAGGAGGTTTTCTGCGGATGGATTCGGAGGGTTGCATAAAATGAGCATTGTTCGGAAAAAGTGGGCAAGTGTTTATGAAGATTGTGAGTATTTAAAGTATGAGGGGTACTTTAGGAAAATTTTAGACACAAATACATGCGTTGAGGTCTTGTCATAATGGCTGAGTTTTAAATGGATTGTTTAGTGCAATATTGGTAAAATAAATGTAAATTTGCTTGGGGACAAGTAAAGGCTAAGTGTGGGGTATTTTGATATGTGTATTTTTATATATATATTTATGCACTTTATCTTAATATTTTGGCCTTATTTATTCTATTTTAGAACTAAAAAGTACTCATAATACTTTGAATTATGTTTTGCAGCTATTCGTTGTCCATAAAGCACAAAAGAAAAGACTGAAGCGGAAACCGGACTTAGGAGCTAAAAGAAATTAAAAATGCTGAAGAAGTGGATTACGCCCCGCGTAACGTCGCATTACACCTAGCATAGTGCCCAAAATCGTCGTACGCCCCGCGTAACTAAAGAGTACGCGCCGCGTACTGGGTGGCTTCAGATAACTTCAATCGCGTGTAAATCTTGACTACGCCCCGCGTAATCCTATGTATGCCCAGCGTACTTAAGTCAGCTACAAAGATTATAAAAGTTGATTTTCAGCTAACCAGGAGGGGAGATTTGACTTCTAACCTAATTTAGTCGATAATTAACTTTTGTTAAGCCGTTTTGAGGGTCTAGAAGGCGGCCGGAAGGCCGTTAAGCTAACGGGAGAGGAGATCGCAAGGGTTGGAGAGCGGATACATGTCGGTAATCCTATGGGCTGTTAACGTGACCATGTTTAGCATTCCATTGTGTTACTATTCTGTATTTAGTTTCTGACTTGGGTGTAAAAACCTTTTACTTTGAGTTTATGATTGAATGAAGCTTTGATTATTAGACTAATTGCTATATTGAATAGTTTGCTTGTGTTTAATTTATCTTGCAAGCTTGTTAAAAGATCCTTACGTATTAATGATAATTATTTGCTGTTAATTGTTAAGTGAATTGAGTTGTATGGACATATGCTTGATTGCTTGTCTCTTATGATTTTGATGACCATCGAGATTATAAGTCTAGGAATAACGAATGTGAAACTAGGATTACATGGGAATAAGTAAGTTAATGTGTGAGCCTTGTTTGATGACCATCAACAAGAGGTTAATTGAATGTCTAATTTGATTAACTATTATTACAAGTCTTGCTTGATACGAACTGAACACTAGGAAGCATGTTAGTTTAACCAATTGATCACTGTTTGAATTGACTTGTTTGCTAAAGGATTAGTTATAGTGAACGCGAATCTAATCATTTTAGGAATCGGTGAACATGAATAAATGAATTCGTGTATGCAATTGTCTATGTTTTTAAGGTGTAATTTGTCTAAACCAAAGTACCTGAAGAGATTTGTTTTCCCTGTTATTTTATCGAGAGTTGTTAATTAATTATTAGTTTGAGATTTATTAATCTATTTCTTTTATTCTTTTCGTGTGACCTGTAACCTATAATCGAATATATTAAGTTAATCCACCGTTCCTGTAACATCCCGAAATATCAAGAGTAGAGTTGAAGGGCTAAAAGAGTAACTTGGGAAAGAGTGACTCGGCGAGTCCATGTGCGGACTCGGCGAGTAGAGTCGTGACTTGGTCGCGTGTTAAGTGGCCGACTCGGCGAGTCAGTGTAATGGACTCGGCGAGTAGGCGCTGAGTGGAGAAAACCCTAATTCTCGGGGTTGAGCCTTATATAAAGATCATTATGTTTTCCTCCCAGCCTCTTTATCACCCCTTGAGCCCAAGAAAACCCTAAATCATGGAGAAGCACCATTGTTGAGTGGATTGGAGCTTGGGGAAGTAATTGTTGAAGGAATTTTGGGAGATTGAAGGCTTGGAGCAAGCGGCTTTGCTTGGATTCGAATTACATTGTAGTTGGGGCATCTCTTAGAGGTAATTTCTTGTTATTGGACTGTTGTTATGTTTTTTCTTCATTTTGGGGGTTTGTGGCAATTTGTCTATGGATGTAATGGGAAGTCTAGAGGTTAGATCTGAGGTTGCTACGTCAGATCTAGAAGGGAGGAGAATCAGAGAGCATGAAAGTCCCTGTGTTGGAGTGTTTAGTGAAGCTTACATGTCCCAAACCCTAGCCCAATGTGCAAACGGCCTAGATCTCTTTGGATTCACGTAAAGTTTGCCACTTTACGTGATGGATGAGTGGTAAGAGGCTAGGTCTATGTTTTGGAGAAGTTGCATGGCCTGGAATGCTTCTGAATGGATTCAGACCGGTGGTACTCGGCGAGTCACATGGGTGTACTCGACGAGTTGCTTGAAGATGAGCTGGGACTCGGCGAGTTGGAAGAACAACTTGGCGAGTTGGATGAAGATGGCCTGGAACGTGGCGAGTTGTATGAACAACTCGGCGAGTAGGTTGATGATAGCCTTAGACTCGGCGAGTCTGTTCTTGGACTCATCGAGTCTTGTCGAAGGGTCCCGATATTCTCCGGTTGAGTCGAGAATCGGTGAGTCGAGGGATGACTCGGTGAGTTGTGTGTGAGTGGACTCAGAGTTGTTGGACTCGGCGAGTCTTGGGGTGACTCGGCGAGTTAGGTCGCGGATTGAGTGAAGTTCTGATTATGGGAACTCGACGAGTCACAGGGTTGACTCAGTGAGTAGGGTCAGTCAGGGGTTGACTTTGACTGAGGACTTTGATTTTGACCAAGGGTTTGCCGTTGACTTTTAGGGTTTGGTCAGCGATGTGGCCTTCGGGCCAAGAGAGGGGTAAAATAGTCTTTTACCCTTAAGAGGGTGCCATGAGAGGATTGATTCTAGTCTCGAGAGTTATATTCATGAGAGTATTTGCCTTA